AAAAAAAAAGGAAAAAGAAAAAAGATAATGCAACACAAATGCATACCTATTTTATTGGTTTGCATCTAGTCAGCCTAATGCTGAAAAACCCCTTCCCGTCTCTCCTGTTTCTTCCCTATAATCCTTTGCTGTTTTTCCACTTCCTAAAACCCTGACTACTTAACTTTTCCTTGTCAGCATCACAGCTTTGAAAGTCTGTTAAAACATTTTATAGCCCCCCAGGAGGTGGTCTGCCGTTGTTTGTGACCTGCACACTATCTCTGGTGCTTTTTGCCCCAGGACAAGGTATTTGCTTCCTCCTGTGCTTGCTGCCACATCAGGCCGCAGCCATTTCACACTGTTTTTCTTAAGAAACTTCAGTCAGCAACTTTGTGCAGTTATGGTACAATATGTGCTGGGTTGAGAACGGAGGCCTGTGACAGCAAGCACAGAATACATTGTTAACAAAGCAATATAATCTGTAACATCCACATGAAAACACTGACCTAGAGATAGATCTTAGCTAGACTTTACCCTGCCTGTAGATAGTGGCATAGCTACAGCAGCATTAAGTTCCTTAATGTCACAGAAATGGTTGTTTTCTTCCTCTGGCATTTTTTGAGGAAGTCCTTTTTCGGCTGCTCCGCAGTCCGGGATACCCCAGCAAGTCCCAGTGTGTTCCAGGAACTGCAGCCCCTCGGTGAGAGCAGCTCAAAGGGCCTCGCTGGGGCCAGTGGCAGAGTGTGCGGGAGGAGCAACAGGAGGCATGAGCGGGGCAAAGGAACACGTTACTCCATGCCCGTCAACTCAGGCTGCTTGTTTTGGAGACAGGATAACTGAGTAAGAGGTAGTGGGGGCAAAGGAAGAAAGAGAGGAAAGTGGTTGCAGGCCAGGAGGTCTCCAAAGGCCAGGAGACCAGCCAGGAATCTGCGCAGGGGGACAACTCGATCAGATCTGCTCCCAGGCACGTCTCAGCCCCGGCATGCTCCCAGCCTCACACCAGCAAAGACTGGCGTGGCCTCCCGTGTTTTGTAACGTGAACATGCCAAATGTTAAGCAGCAAGTGTTTATTTTTACTGCTAGCAATGGGCACTGGTATCATGGGTGTGGAGGAGCGAACTGCGTTTCCAAATTCCTCTCCGGCGCTCCTGTAATGCAGCTTCCCAAAACCGGCTCACGGTGGTGAGCGATGACTGTGGCTGGCAAGGACACGCTGGTAAGGGGCCGATTGCTCAGACCTTTCCAACCAAGCCAGCGTGATCCCCTCTGTCGCAGGGGTACAGCACAGCTGGCACGGCCATTCCTGTGGCAAACCGAGCATCCAGCCAACACGAGCCTCTCTCTTCTCTACCCGTACAGGCTGTTTCCTCCACTTCCAGTATTGCTCTCGCAGGCTCACAGAGCTATTTAACCGTAGCTCTAGCAGGCAACCAGGCCTGAACTGCAGACTGCAGTTCTTTTCACCAAAAAGGCCCATAATCTCTGCAGGACGTGATGCCAATTTTGCACGGTTCTGCAGAACCCGGTCACTGTGCCCTTGTGGTCGTGTGGATCCTGTGGGCACTGGCCACACATCCTGTGCCAGCTCCCTCTGATAGCGCCGGAGGCTTTGGACTTTGGGGACTTTGGACTCTTGTGTCGCTTGGAGCAAGGTCTCTCTGCAGGAGGAAGGCAAAACTGAGCAGGGCTTCAGCCCTCCGCTTGATTTTCACTGGCACAAAAGACTCAACGTTTTCATCACCACCACTCAGGCCCCCACTACCGCCTCATGCAAATCCACCTTGTTAAAGCAAAGGGCAGCGCAGCAGAAGGGTAAACTGCAATACAAGCTACAAGTCATGTTCATTAAACATGTGGTGCAGTCACCACAGCACAATCCATCAAAAACCCACACTCATATTTCAGGCAGATAAGTCATAGTATTGTTAATGTAGTAGCAAAAAGAACTAGCTTTGATTTTCCACCAGGTGTCTCCTATATGACCTCGCACAAATTATTTTGTTCTTTGTGCTTCAGGGCCCTCCTGGCAGGATTGCCCTTGCAGGGCGTGATCATGGGAGATAAATACACAGCGTATCCACTTCAGAAGTAGTTGTCAGCCTGAGTTTCCCGAGAACCTGCTTACCCTCAGAGCTCAGGAATATTCACTACAACCTAAGGGGGAAAAACAAATGTTAATCAGAGCATTGTTTTCTAGCAAAAACTCCTCTTTCAAAAGGTAAATGCCAGAGGCTACATATAAAACCATGTCACACATGCAATCTTGGGCAAGCTTTCTATTCGCAGAACATGTTGTTACGTGGCACAAACAATGAGGTACCACCTCAGAGTGCAACTACTGCAGCTTAACAGGTTGCAGGATAATTGCACGTAGCTGGAACATGGATCTGAGGCTTTTTTTTCCTGTTTTTTTTGTTTTGTTTTGGGGGAGGTGGTTTATATTAATGTAAGTAAGTCATAAAAAGCTACTGACTTCATATTCCTTAGTGTACCTAAATAGGTATGGATATGTAGCCAGCCACTGTAGCACACAGTTTGTAAGTTTATGCTGGATGCTAAAGCTGTATGACATCCATTGAATATATACTGGTATAGGTAGCAAGCTTGAATTCTGCAGTGAATGGGTTAAAAAAAGGAGCTGTCTGGACATTCTGGATGCTTAACAAAACAAGCTGAAAAGAAACATGGAAGTCCATGAATCAAGGTTATCTCACTTGCATTCTTTCTGTTATCTCTTTCTAGTTAACTGGAGACAGTTTTAAGAAACCATCCTGGAGACAGTATAAAGAAAATATCATAAACTTCCCTGCTGTTTGGGTGTAAAAACTGTAGGAAAGAGGTGAAAAGTACTGTTTTCTCTTAACATTCACAATCACAAAAATTATTTTAGGGCAAAAGAGAAGACATTTGCAGATACTGGACTACCACCTATGAAAAGAGCTTATTCTTGTGAAGAATTATAAAAATTCTGTTTTATAAACTGAAAAAAAACCAATATTAACAACAATCTTTGATGACAGAAAAAAATCAGCTGCTTCCAACACACAAGAGTGTCCAGTTTCTTATGATCCCAGGAAAGTATTCATTAGCACTGCGTATTTCTGCTGCAATACTGCATTCCTCAGGCATTCCTCCAGTGTAGCAGGTCTCTGCCTTTTTGCAGCCTTGACTCCTATTACAGTGAATAGAGTTTAAGGGGACCTTTGTGTGAACCATGACTTACTTCTGCATGCAATTCTTTCTTAAAACTTGTTTACAGCTTCTTAATGTTCTAATTGCTTGTCCTAATCACTTTCACATTGTCCTTTCACATTGAATGGGGCCACTAAGAAATTACACATAATTTTTAAATGATTATAGGAATTTAAACAAAAAAACAAAAGACAGTTTCTATAAACTACAGTCACAGGTTACAAAACATTTTCAGAGCTCGGATCTTCAGAATGGAAGTTAGCATCAAATGCAAGCCAGCATTTATGATAATAAAACCTATTATTTCTGATTCGGCAATATCTTTTAAGTACATGCTTGTTACAAACAGAGAAATGAAACTCTCTGAATCAAAATCAGTCTCTCTTACAATGAAACAGTGATTCCAGCGGAGCAGGAATATTTCGAGCCCTTGTTAGGAGAGGCCTTAAGTACATTTGAGTGTTTTCTGGAGGAGTGATACTTTCCCCAAGCAAATCTCATGTTAAGCAACAAGTTTGCACAGAGAACTGTGTGTGTATGCCAAAACTGTGGTATTACCACCTGGAATCATTGAGAGGCCCTTCATATCCCTCGGAGGAGACCCTCTCTGCAGCTTCCCACTGCAGGTGAGGACCAAGAGCAGAAGGGCTGCTGCAAATACTGAGCCTAAGGGATTTCAAAGCAACTCTCAGACACTGCCAACCACAGCAACCGTTCGCGCTAAAGAACCAGCCATTTCCAACGATTGTGCCACCAAAATCCCAACC